GAAACTCCGTCTCAAAAAAAAAAAAAAAAATTTTAAAAACTATCACAGCAGGATTTCAATATAGGACACTAACAGTATACAAACACTAAATATGAAACAAATTGACAGAGCCTTGACTATGTCTCCAGTTATAGCTGAAAATACACAGCTTATGAAACTAACACATGAGAGTATAAATTCAGGCTCTTATAGTCAGGAACTGCTGTTTATTGATGAAATCATGTTATTTCCCAGCAATTCAGTTTCCTCATTTATAATTTAGAGCAATGATTGCTGGGAAACGCAGTCTCATTCATGCAGTCTTTTAATCCCCACTTGGCCGCATAAGAATAGACTGTAGACCTGGAATACATTTTTTTTTTTTTTTTTTTTTTTGGGACGGAGTTTCGCTCTTGTCACCCAGGCTGGAGTGCAATGGCGCCATCTCGGCTCACCGCAACCTCCGCCTCCTGGGTTCAGGCAATTCTCCTGCCTCAGACTCCTGAGTAGCTGGGACTACAGGCACGCACCACCATGCCCAGCTAATTTTTTGTATTTTTAGTAGAGACGGGGTATCACCATGTTGACCAGGATGGTCTCGATCTCTTGACCTCGTGATCCACCTGCCTCGGCCTCCCAAAGTGCTGGGATTACAGGCTTGAGCCACCGCACCCGGCCCAGACCTGGAATACTCTCTTACCAAGAGATCAAAGAGCCCACACAGGTGCAGTGGCTCCCTCCTGTAATCTGAGCACTTTGGGATGCAGGCAGATCACTTGAAGCCAGAAGTTCGAGGCCAGCCTGACCAAAACAGTGAAACTTCATATATACTAAAAATACAAAAATTAGCTGGGTATGGTGGTACACATCTGTAGTCCCAGCTACTAGAGAGGCCAAGGCATGAGAATTACTTGAACCTGGGAGGTGGAGGTTGCAGTGAGCCAAGATTGCCCCACTGTACTCCAGCCTGGGTGACAGACCAAGACTCTGTCTCAAATTTAAAAAAGCAAAAAGAGCCGGGCGCGGTGGCTCACGCCTGTAATCCCAGCACTTTGGGAGGCCGAGGCGGGTGGATCATGAAGTCAAGAGATCAAGACCATCCTGGTCAACATGGTGAAACCCCGTCTCTACTAAAAATACAAAAAATTAGCTGGGCATGGTGGTGCGTGCCTGTAATCCCAGCGACTCAGGAGGCTGAGGCAGGAGAATTGCCTGAACCCAGGAGGCGGAGGTTGCGGTGAGCCGAGATCGCGCCATTGCACTCCAGCCTGGGTAACAAGAGCGAAACTCCGTCTCCAAAAAAAAAAAAAAACAAAAAAAAAAAAAGCAAAAAGAGCCCATGTGACCTGTGGTGGCTTATTCTTCTGTGCGGCTACCTTTCCCTGTGCCAAGCTCAGTGCACCAGAGGAGCACACATAGCCAATTTCCCTGCACTGGCTGCCAGGAAGCTGGTCTTGCTCTGTGAGTAACGCATTGCTGCACGCACAGCTTCACTGCGTTGTTTTGCACAACTCTGATACCAAGGTACATGGGCTAGAAGCATTTGGACTTCTATTCCTGTCAGTTGGCACAGTGATGATCTTTGCAGTCCTCCATGTGGTGGGAGGCATCCGCTGGGTGATGGGAACCAGTGTTTAGCGTTCTGCTCCCCTGGGATTGATAATCGGGTGCCCCATATATTGCTTAACAATAATCAAGTGAGATAACATTTAAACATTTCTACATAGATATACACAAATAATATATTAAAATTCTATATACAGTCTAGTGCTGCTAAAAATGTTAATATTGTCCTTATTTCCTTCCAAAAATCACATGAGCTTCTGCCAACAACTGGAGAGGAAAGACAATCATCAGAGATATTTAGCATCAAAGGAACAAATAGGACAAAATTATCAATTCTGTACCACATCAATAAAAAGCTAATGTCTATATTTGCTCATTTGGTAATATGACTACATGTTAAATGGTGGCATGTGTATGTGAGTGTGTGCCTGTGTGTTTTTTTTTTTTTTTTTTGAGACGGAGTTTCGCTCTTGTTACCCAGGCTGGTGTGCAATGGCACGATCTCGGCTCACCGCAACCTTGCCTCCTGGTTTCAGGCAATTCTCCTGCCTCAGCCTCCCGAGTAGCGGGGACTATAGGCGCGAGCCACCATGCCCAGCTAATTTTTGTATTTTTTAGTACAGACGGGGTTTCACCATGTTGACCAGGATGGTCTCGATCTCTTGACCTCATGATCCACCCGCCTCGGCCTCCCAAAGTGCTGGGATTACAGGCGTGAGCCACCGCGCCCGGCCGTCTGTGTGTGTTTTGAGCAGTGTGAAAAATAAGGCAGCGTCTTTTCTGTCACTGGCTGGAATGTGAAAAAGTTTATAGGCGTACCCAATAACATTGGAAACGGGCCATCTCCGGAAGTCAATATATTCCTTCTACTTCCTTATATTTTACAAGAAACACGTACTTACCTCATATGTTTTTTCTTATGCTTTCTCTTGGACATTTCTTTATTATATTTCTTCCTCTTTTTATGGAACCATTGACTTATCTGCAAAAAATGAGGTGTGGGAGCTGATTAATACAGGAATAAGGATATTGGTCTACATGGGTAATAGTACTACACAAGTGACTTTGTCTGTCAATGAAGAAATGTCTGTTAATGCTGTCATACCTGCTTATGTGTCATGTCAAATTCAAATGAGAGTGATAGACTCTCTTGTATTGTGGGGCACCTGTTTAACTTAAACTTTGCCCAGAGAGTGTCCATGAGGGATTTGCTGACAAATCTTGTCTTGGGATACTGTTTCTGTTTCTCATTTTCCCTTTCGCTTTTTACTTCCTGTTCATCTTCCATCTCCTTTTCGATTTCCTCGTCTTTTTCTTGCTCTCTCTTTCCGCCAGCTTCTCCTCCTTCCTCTCTTGATTTCTGCTTTCCCTTTTGTTCATCTTCACTGTAATTTCCATTTGATTGTTCAGGATTTTGATCCCAAGGCATAGCTGGTTGTTTCTGTATAAGATCTGTGGAATAAAATCAAGCTGCAGCTAAATTTGGATTTCAGTTCATATTCAACCATCTCCCATGTGAAAATATATTTGATTTTCTTAAGTTAGCAATGTTGTACATTGGTGAAAAATACGGAGAAAAGAAAAAGTGAACTTGATGCCTGCCCTGTGGCTCACGCCTGTAATCCCAGCACTTTGGGAGGCCAAGGTGGGTTGATCACGAGGTCAGGAGATGGAGACCATCCTGGCTAACACGGTGAAACCCCAACTCTCCAAAAATACAAAAATTAGCTGGGCGTGGTGGCACACACCTGTAGTCCCAGCTACTTGTGAGGCTGAGGCAGGAGAATGGCTTGAACCCAGAAGGCGGAGGTTGCAGTGAGCCGAGATCATACCACTGCACTCCAGCCTGGCAACAGGGTGGGATACCACCTTTTTAAAAAAAAAAAAAAAAAAAAAATGCCGGGAACATGGCTCAAGCCTGTAATCCCAGCACTTTGGGAGGCAGAGGTGTGCGGATCATGAGGTCAGGACTTCGAGACCAACCTGACCAATACGGTAAAACCTCGTCTCTACTAAAAATACAAAAATTAGCTGGGCATGGCGGGGGGCACCTGTAATCCCAGCTACTCAGGAAGCTGAGGCTGGAGAATTGCTTGAACCCGGGAGGAGGCCGCTGCAGTGGGCCGAGATCGCGCCACTGCACCCCACCGTGGGCGAAAGCATGAGACTCTGTCTCAAAAAAACAAAAACAAAACAAAACAAAAAAAACTTATTTGAACTCTAAGGGTCAAATCTGCCAAGTTAAAATTAATGTATTAGCCTCCAGAATATAATGCAGCCGGGCACGGTGGCTCACGCCTGTAATCCAGAATTTTGGGAGGCCGGGGCGGGTGGATCACGAGGTCAACAGATCGAGACCATCCTGGTCAACATGGTGAAACCCCGTCTCTACTAAAAATACAAAAATTAGCTGGGCATGGTGGCGCGTGCCTGTAATCCCGGCTACTCAGGAGGCTGAGGCAGGAGAATTGCCTGAACCCGGGAGGCGGAGGCTGCGGTGAGCCGAGATCGCGCCACTGCACTCCAGCCTGGGTAACAAGAGCTAAACTCCGTCCCCAAAAAAGAATATAATGCAGCAGTTTTTTAAAAAACTATGAAGTAGCCGGGCGCGGTGGCTCACGCCTGTAATCCCAGCACTTTGGAGGCCGAGGCGGGTGGATCACGAAGTCAAGAGATCGAGACCATCCTGGTCAACATGGTGAAACCCCGTCTCTACCAAAAATACAAAAAATCAGCTGGGCATGGTGGCGCGTGCCTGTAATCCCAGCTACTCGGGAGGCTGAGGCAGGAGAATTGCCTGAACCCAGGAGGCGGAGGTTGCGGTGAGCCGAGATCGCGCCATTGCACTCCAGCCTGGGTAACAAGAGCGAGACTCCGTCTCAAAACCAAAACAAAACAAAAAATCAAAAAACAAAACAAAACAAAAGTATGAAGTAGGTCAATAAATATTAACATGGAACGATGCCCCAGACATATTTTACATAAAAGAGCCATTTTACATTCACATACAGAGGAGTAAATTTCTTCAATTGAAAAATCTTAAAAATGTTCACATAACCGGATGGCTTCACTAGTGAATTCCACCAATGTTTATACAAGAATTAAACCTTTTACAACGCCTTCCAAAAAACAGGAAAGAACATTTCCCAACTTATTCTATGAGATCAGTATTTTTACCCTGCATATAAGTCATAGTTCAACTGGAGAAAGATAAGGCATCAGCAGCGAATATACATTAAGAAATTCATTGCAGGGAATTGGCTTACACAATTTTCGAAATGTCTTGGCAAGTCGGAAAGGATGGCTGGGAACCCTTCAGTGTGAGATGACACTGCTCTCCCTGGGCAGAATTTCCTCTTAAAGCCTCATCGGCTGGGAACCCTTCAGTGTGAGATGCTGCTGCTCTCCCTGGGCGGAATTTCCTCTTAAAGGCTCATCGGCTGGGAACCCTTCAGTGTGAGATGCTGCTGCTCTCCCTGGGCGGAATTCCTCTTAAAGCCTCATCTGATTGAATTAGGTTTACTCAGATTATAATCCCTTTTACTTAAAGACAATTGAGATGGATTTTAATTATATCTAAAAAGCCAGTAGCAAGGCCTGGCGTGGTGGCTCACACCGGTAATCCCAGCCACTGCACTCCAGCCTGGGCAACAGAGCAAGACTCCATCTCAAAATAAAATAAATACGCCGGTAGCACCTAGTGTTTGATTGAATTACTGGGGTCTGATTGAATTACTGGCCTGCCCGAGTTGCCACATTAAAGGCCATCATAACACTAATACTCAAACCAGACAGATACCTCCTCCAAAAAAGTATAGATTAATGTCCCTTATGAAAATGGAGGCAAAAACATCAACAAAATGCTAACAATTCAAAATCCAGCAACATAGTAAAAGGGTTACGCACCATAACCAAGTGGGATTTATTCTAGAAATAACCAGTGTGACTGGTTCAATATAGGAAAATCAATGTAATACATCATAATAGAATAAAGGGAAAAAAACATGGGATCATCTCAATAGAGGTAGGCAAGGCTGTTTCTCTAAAATTTAAAGAGTGACCATATGACCTAGCAATTGCCCCCTTTAAACAAAATACATTCTATCTATACAACAGACTATTATTTAGCCACAAAAAGAAATAAAATACTGATTAATGCTCAACATGGGTGAACATCGAACACAAGCTAAATTGGGGGGCCAGGTGTGGTGACTCACACCTGTAATTTCAGCACTTTGGGAGGCCGAGGTGAGAGGATTGCTTGAGTCCAGCAGTTGGAAACCAGCTTGGGCAACATAGTGAGATCTCCTCTTCTTAAAAATAAAAAAAATGAGGCCGGGCATGGTGGCTCAGGCCTGTAATCCCAGCACTTTGAAAGGCTGAGGCGGGCGGATCACAAGGTTAGGAGTTTGAGACCAGCCTGGCAAATATGGTGAAACCCTGTCTCTACTAAAAATACAAAAATTAGGTGGGCATAGCAGCTCATGCCTGTAATCCCAGCTACTGGGGAGGCTGAGGCAGGAGAATCTCTGAGGCAGAGGTTGCAGTGAGCCGAGATGGTGCTATAGCACTCCAGGCCTGGGCAACAAGAGCGAAACTCCATCTCAAAAAATAATATTAATAAAATTTTTTTTTTTTTTTTTTTT